AAAACATCAAGATAGCTTTAAAATTCATTGAGATATGAGCTATGAAAGTTAAGGCATTAATTTTTTTTTAAATGTAGATTTGATTGACGGCAGCCCCATATAGTGATTTCATAAACAAATTTGAGTTGCTTTATTTAGAATTTTATATACCGATACTGTTTTTTTTTGTTCTAATTATTATTCTTAAATTTATTACGTATTAAATTGCCAATGACTGTAAAAGCTCTTCTGTTAGAGTTTGTATTTTTTAATCAGTTTTAATATATGAAAAATAAAATCGTTTCCGAATTTTAGTTGCTGTAGAAAAGGAAAAAAAAATCCTGACATTCTGATTAATTTGATCTTTGCAGCTCGTTCTTGGTGAGGGTGATATATTTGCAATTTCATTAGGTATTTGTTTTTTATGTATCTGCCATTAGGTTAATAAAATAGAAGCTCATAGTGACACAGAGATGATTCCGATCAGGTAACAACCAGTAAGCTAGATTCTTGCTTCGCGTCAATAGAATACATGAATAAATGTTCTATTTCTCGATTGCGGGTAATACTGTATTTACCTTGAAATGAAAATATTTACTCATTATTTTACTTATCATTAAATATCTTTAGAGCTTCTATTGGCCGATATTTCGGAAACTATAATAAGGTTTATGATAGTTACCATGATGCATAATTTCGAAACTTTAATGAGCTGTTAATTTATTTATACTGTATTTGCCAATTTTTGATAATAAATAAATATTTATTTTATTTAATTTTGTAGTATAAAGAAGAATGCTTCCCTCATTATCTACAGTAATTTTTAAGGTGAATTCAGGTTAAACTGTATATCAAATAATGCCGGGTGCCAATTCAATCTATTAAATATATATACAACCAAGCTCCTATACAATAGCTGTGACTAAGGTTATATAGAATGCATATATATATGGACTTTCCTTTGATAGTGCTTTTTATATTACGCTTATAACAAAGATTAGTGGAAGTACAATGATCGTATTCTTTATCGATCTATTCTAAAAAAAAAAAATATATTCAATAAACTAATGTCACAAGTCTTGTAAAGTGCTACCGTTTTTTGCAAAAAAAAAAAAATCAAACAAATACGGTCAACTCTAAAAGTGCAATTCGCCAGGATCATATGTAAAAATAATCTAAAGCCTTCATTTAGAGAAAGCAAGCATATAACTTTATGCTTGAGAGCATTTATTTAGAAAGATGACACAGACAACCTATGCTAACCGAAATAACATTAATATGTCATCTTGGCTGCATAATTATATTAATTAAATTAAATTATGGTTTAATACGATATCTCAAGATATTTTATCTGTGTATCATAACTAATTAAATAGGAAGTTGACTTTTCAAATGACATAATCCGTCATATACCATCAGTTCTATTATTCAAGTATTTGTCCAACACTAACGCCAATAATTTCGATCGAATCTCAGTAGCATTCAATTCGCGTGGCTTAAGTAAGCAACCTGAAAATCGTCATGGTTACACGAGCAAATTAAAATTGACCGGTTGGGGTAATTTGTGATCAATACGTATTGTGAGCCCCCGGTTGTCGGTATGTGATATCGATATGATGTAAAAAAAGGCTTATAATTGTTTTGGGCCAAAATAATGGATGTGTTTTTCAATTTTACATAATTCGTGCAATTTTTATCTCCTCATTTCATATTGTGCTCTTTATTTTTGCTCTATTACACGAAATTTACATAAAGGTGAGCCTTTCTATTTGAATCATGGTGTTAGCAATGCCAAATATCTTCTTGCAAAACAAAACGTTGTAGCATAGTCCAAGTAAGATTACAATAGCTTTCATTTTTGGAATTTTTAAAAGTAATTGCCTCGATTAATACGTATTCATTGCTGATTTTTAAATTTTAAATTTTACAGTGCGTTATTATACTAATAAAGAACTATGGAAACATTACAAGCGATTGATAATGGTGCAAAGTATACTCGTGAAGAAACAATTATATTAAATGTTGGAGGAATAAAGGTAATCAACTACAAAATGTAAAAATTTATCGTCTGTATAATTAATAAAAAACTTGATGACTTTTAAACGCTTAGTATGAAACATATCCATCGACTTTGACTGCCTTTCCTGATACTCTTCTCGGTACAATGTTTCAGGAACGTAACAGATCGATGCTTCATCCTAGGTACGTATAGATGCAATTATAATAATTGTATATATCATGCACTTACTATTTTTATATTCTTAGGAATGGCAACGAATACTTTATTGATAGGAATGGTTATGCATTTCGATATATTCTTGAATTCTATCGTAATGGCAAAATACTATGGAATGAACGATCGGATAAAAATACTGTTCCTGTCACTAAAGAAGAATTAGATCAAGAAATTGATTATTTTCAAATACCTGTTAAAGATGTTTCATTGATTTCAGGGGAAAAAACTGTAGCTGCTAAAGTTGATGCATTTGTCGCTGCACTCAAGGAATTAATCCATGAAGCAATGGATCAACTCCAAACTGAGATTCATCTGAAATTTTATGAAGATGGTCAACCAGGTTTACAGTATTGGAGTCCTGCGTATCGACAAAGTGCAATTGTTGAAAACATTTTGAGACCATTTAACATTGTAGGTTATGTAATTCTACAACAATTTGGCGATACAATAGAAAGACATCTTAAATCTGAAATTCCAGAAATATCCTGGCTTCTTAATGAAGGCACACCTCGATTTCCACCAGATCTCCCACCGGACTTTGATTCGCGAGCTTCGTTTATTGGTGGATCAGGCGGTCCTAACGGAACAATTGGCCCTTTAATAAATAATAATCGACCTTCGTTTTCTTTCGCAACTAGGCAATCTATCAATAACCAACAAAGTAATATTCAAACTAATCAAATAAACAATAACAGCTCATCTCAACCATTGATTGGAACATTGGGAAATTTGATTGCGCAAATAAATACCAATAATCAAAATAATATTTCATCTAGTACTACTACTACTACTACTGGACCAGATATAGGATTGAACGTGTTTGGTAATGCGACTACAGCACCTTCATTTAATCTATTTGGTGCTACTAGTGGAGTAAATACGCTTAATAGAAGTCCTCAGGCGGTATTCCAATCAAATGGCTTCGGTACTTTTACAAATATTCAACCAACTATTCCATCATTTGGAGCTTTCGGATTTAGCCAACCGATTATCCAGGCGACTAATGATAGTAATGGTTTCGGTCATTCATCCCTTGGAAATATTACGAGTATTCAATCTGGGACAACTTTTGGGTACGGAAACATACAACCAGCTACTACTACAAATGGATTTAGAGTTGCTATTACTTCACCAACATTTTCAACGAATAATAATCAACCAACTAGATTTGTTGTTCCGGGTGAGTAAATGTCGCATAATCGGTAATCATTATCGTATATTAGAATAATTTATTACATGAATCCGATACGTTTATTTAGGAAATTTTACTTTAAATCCAAGAATTACGTCTATTGATGATACAGTTTTTCGTCGATGTCCTCGAAACGATGGGAAATGCCTTGAATTGGTTATAAAAATCGTTTACAATTACTCTGTCGCAAATATTTTGGCAAACACTTGTCTTGCTAATGATTAATAATGTTTGTGTACTAACTTGAAGAACGTTATAGTTTGCATTTGTCAAGCTCCGAGCTTTTTTTTTTTTTTTTTAAGGAACGTTAACGCTATATAGATAAATCATATTATGTATATTTCATAAATATTCGAATAAATATGTAAATATGCAATATAGTTTAAAAAAAACGAAAATTATTAATACAAAACCCACTATATATTTAATATTTAACGATTGATCATATATCAGATATTACCTAAGCACGTAATGATGATACAATTAAAAACTCTACGTAGTCTAGGAACAACCCAGAAATAGGAATGAGTATGCAAGATTTGCATATGTTAAGTGTTGAAGTAACATAGCTGATTCCGTTAAGGAAAACATGTTCTGTCGATTCTCGTTGTGGCGCAAAAAATTTTCGGACCCGTGATTGATCCTCAACGCCATCAAACTATCAATAAAAAGTGCCAATAATGTACAGTATGTCTAAATTTTGTGCAAACCCTCTTAATGGCTGGGTGCTGTTGCAAATTGAGTTAATCGAGTTAATTCCAGTTCTAGGTTTGTTCTTTCGTCTTCGAAATTGTGTATTACACTGGGGTGTGACACACTATGAAAATTATGAAAATCAAAATTAAAATACGTGGTCATACAATAAAATTTATTAAATTGATTTTTACATAATTCTTCGCGAATTTATATAGTTTGGTTTGGTTAAAGTTTTGTAAAGACTTATATTGCATCTTTACAAAGCTATAGTGCCATTTTCTAAAGAGGATTCGATTCATTCACTTTTGATCTTTTTAAAAATTTTTTATATGAATAAAAAGACCTTATAAATTTTATTATGTGATCACGTAATTTTGATTTACATAAAGTTTTCTGTTAACAATTATATCTTAAGAATATGATAACAATTTAGTGTACATTATGGCTCAAATGACCATATCTCAAGACAGTTAATATATATGTGTTGTACTTTTGCTTGATCACAGTGAAATACTGTACATAATTTTTTTGCACATATTTTTATTGATAGTCAAAATGTCTCAACTAGCAAAAATTTAAGAGAACTATATAAACTTTTTACTATTTCGATTTAGCAAGTCCGACCTAATATAAAAAGGCATTAATTGTATAATAGAGCTTCGAATAAAATAAAATAAAATAAAATTAAAAAAAAAAGGACAAACCCTATTATTTGCGAGATCATAAATCGAATAGAATTTACGTAGAAATATATCACCAACTGTAGGTTCATAGAATATAAACTTTTAGATGTACAGTATATTGATTCACAATTTTAATTATTTGGAATAAAAATACTCACTTATCCAAATAGGACCCAGTGGTTCGGGAATGTCAAGACCAATAAAAGCGGAAATACATTGATTTTGGGCTAGAAGAGATTAGTGTTAATTAATAAATCTTGACACAAAAACAAACAGGAATGAACGATAATTAATACCTTTCAAAACATATTCAGAACCATTTAAGGTGAATAATTTGCCATTGAATTGCATACTGAAATCAGGTAAGGATGGTACTTTCTCACAATCGATGATATATTGGCCAGCAAAGTTTTTCTTAGCACCAAGTTGTTTATTAATCAAGTCGGCAACAATACTAGGTACTGCTATAAGAGAAGTTCCGGTATCAATTGCAGCGCCAGTTCCATCCATCTCGACTTCTTCTCCACCCAAAACAACTTTTTCTAATTCAATTTCCCAATAACCCTTTCTTCTAACGGGAGCCCAATGAATAGTTTCAGCAATGTGAGATTCGTCAATACCACCGAAAATCAGTTCGCCTCCAACAGCATTATTATTTTTATCAGCGTCATTAAGCCAGAAAGAAAAAATTGGTGCATCAATTAATTTACGGTTTACTAGATGATAAAAAGGAGGAACAACACCCTTGATAGCAATGTTATCATAACCTTAAAGAATATTATGAAAATGAATAAGAGCTATGTGTGTAATATTTCAGCCAATATCAGACATAGCGATGTAAATTATAAAGAGCCTACCAAGTCCAAAAATACCATCAAAGCGGCCAAAAGTAAAAACTATACCAGGTTCTTTGATAGATTCACCAAAATCTAGATCCGTAACTTTAAGATCTGCTATTTGTAAAACATCCTACAAGAATCATTATCGAATAATTAAATTTTCGAAATTTATAGTTTAAAAGAGAAACATACATAAAACATACATTACTAATAATTCCTTCTAAACTTCCAGAGCCATAGTGAATTTCAAATCCCGTGCCATTAGGTTTGAAAGTACTAGATTTGTCTGAATTATACCGACGATGAAGAAAACAAGCGATCGAGGTACAGCGGGTCGATGGAACCCAGAAATTTGATGATCCTGTATCAAATACTACACTGAATGTTTGCGGTGGTGTTCCAATAGAAATTTCACCAAAATACTATAATTGAATGATTATAAAATTTTTTACGCGTTCATTGTTTACATTCTTTTTAACTATTAATTTTATACTGTACTTCTTTTACTGGAATGAACTCATGAACGGAATATAAATTGATTGTCATCTCATATACTCACTTGTGCGTTCATGAAATTCGTCAAAGGTATTCCATGTTGTGTACCATATTCGTGAATAACTATCTGACTTGCATGTTGTATATATTGGGAATATCCAAAGTATTTTTGAATGAGATATTCGCCAGAATTTGCATAACGATGTATTTTTTGTGCTGGAGTTTCTGATACTTTTTTTAATTTCATTCTTGAGTAAAAATGCCGTGATAAATATGATATAATGTGATCTTTTTAGTACATTTCCACGATTCATAAATTTCTTACATACTTGTAGACTGTAGCATCGGTTGAAACGCTGAGAAAGGCGTTTAATATTAAAATTATCAAGCAAAACTTCATTTTTTGTTGACTTTGAAAGACAACGTTATTTCAATTTTAAAGGGAAGAGACGCTTATTCAAAGCACTGAAGCTCAAATGTTAAATTTGTCGATAATTTTAATTTGATAATTTTAATTAGATATGATGAGAATTTTGATGTCATAAAATACGCATTCGTACATTTAATTGCATGGCACATTAAAATATTATTAAGGGTTTAATTGCTACAGAACAGTAACATTCATGCTTTAACATTATATCGTACTATTGATAATTTTTATTTATTCAAATTTAGACGATAATAATTCTTCCCATGAAATTTGCTTATACACCTTATTAGGCATTGATAAATATAGATACGTTTATTTGCTTTTATATGAATCTGATTACGTTTCCGCAATAATCCATATCCGTTAAACGCTTCAAACGATAAGATATAATACAAGAAAAAATTATCCGTTTCCACATTGATCCATGAAACGTAATCTAAATACAAAAGGCACTTACAGTATATCAGAAACCAATTTAATACTAAAGAAAGCTTAGTTACCAGCAAGTACAATTATTGAAACACGAATACAAATTATTAGTACAAGATATATACAACGTTCTATAATAGAATATGAAAAAACCAATATTGGAATCATCACGAAAAGAAGGCAACGATGATATCAGAAAAAATACAAGGTCAAATCGATAAAATGATCCGTAAAAATAAAAATTACTGAGAAAATTTTACAAAAAATCGAGAAGATACACGTGTTTCTGAACAAGTAAGAGAAAGAAACCCTCAAAAGATGGATCAGTACCGCGAGAAAGATATTTATTATGGATGCCTCAGAACTTAACAACGTAAAATCTAACCTATAAAAAAAAACCAAAACATTTAGGAAATCTTCTGATGCTCACAAGTATAGTTGTTAAGCGAAACTTTTTGCATGGTGAGAACTGGCGAAAGATGAAACCCTGGCGAAATCCTAAACCTTCCTGACGAAAAACGAAACCTAAAATTGGAAATGACGAAAAGCGAAACCTAGTGAAACCTTACTGTATTTTCGCGTAATGATGCCCACTTGCGCGTTATAGTAAGACATTTATGTAATCGGCTAATTTACTGTATATCAATATTTATCCAAACATGCGTGTTATTTCGGGACGCACACGTGGCGTCACTTCGAAGCCATGCATGTCATTTTCAGGTTATACGATTATCGAAATGGTGTTCACGGACGCTATTACGCGAAAATACGGTATTAAAAGTCAAAACTGGATGAAATTTATAAGGACAAAAGCCTAATAAGCCATTTCCCTATTGTCAAATAAGGTGCGGCTGTTAGACACTGTTATTAGACATGAAAATGCTGAAAGTTTTTTGTATCCAATATTACTATAAGAAATTCGGGATTTGAAGCCTATTGACCTATTAACTGTCAAGCATTAATATATGGTTATTAGATATAGTGGGCTTATATGAAAATATAAACATGTCACCAAGGAAACCAAACATGGGCTTTGAACTTTAAGTGCGCCAAGTGAAAAACCAGTAATTCTAATTGAGTTTATCAAGATTTCTTGATATTTATTAGTTGCTGTGTCATATATTTTTTTTAATTTCGTAACTTTCGCCGGTTCACATCCAGAAAAGGCGTACGAAGCTGGTGTACAGTTGTGGCTAGACAAATACTTAATATTTCGACTGCCACCAGTTTTTTGATAATAAATTAACATCGACTCCAGCGTTAGTTCTTAATATAGTATATATATATTACAGAATAATAAACTCTAACCTATAGTTATTATATTATAAATACTTGATTTAATAAACAATGTCTAACAACTCATTTTTATGTTTTCATTTCGGTATGTATCTTTCTCGTGGAGGAATATTGATATATTAACACGTCTATGAATAAAGATTCGGATTTCTATAACCCTTTTTTAAGTGTTTTAAGTGTTTTATACCGGTGAAAGGTTGGATCTGTTAAAATTGAGCAGGTAAATCCGACAAATTATTAGTTTAGATATTTAAATGAAATGAAGATTATTTCATAACCTGATACATATTTCCGGATGCGCCAATTTTTGCTAGCTTTCGTCAATTTTGCCACCTTTTATTTCGTTACTTGAAGTTTTAATTGGCGAAAGACAAAACTAGGTTTCGTGTTTCGTCTGCGCGAAATCTTCAGGTTTCGCCCAAACAACTATACTCATCAAGGTGCAAACACTGCATAGATACTTGAAACACCTCAAGTTATCAGGATGTAGTATTCATGAATCTCATTAAGATATCAAATCCAACTATGCCACAAAAAGATGGGTTATGCTTAAGAAAGAGACAAACGGTAAAAGTTGTTGAAATATCTTGCGTTTCTGAAAAATTTCAGTTTAGAAAAACCTTTACCGGAAAGACTGTATTCGGGGGGAACCAAACATTGGTACGCATACATACCAGTTGAAATAAAGAGTTGAGCGTGAATGTATAATAATAAAACAATATCGCCCGACCCTGGCATACGTACATTATTTACAGGATACGATTGCAACGACATTAAGACATATCAAAGAAATTGTAAGCCCAAGACCAAGCTATCCTCTTGTGATGGTAAAGAATTTAAACAAAAGCGATTCATTGCCGAGAGGAAATATCAAGAAATAAGAAAAAGATAACTAATTTCATAAATGATTGCCATCATAAGATTTCAAAATATTTGTGCGAGAATAACGATACGATTTCGCTATCAAAGTTCGATACTCAAGAGAAGATCATATTTTCTGCAAGGAGACCAGACGGCTCTGATTCAAGATATTCTCGTTGCACGAATCAAGATAATACCGAGAATGTAAACGTACTGCCATGAAGATTACATATCAGTAACATGCACAAGATGCGGAGATGGAAAAACCAACGATGAATTTGGTGATTAAAAAAGATACGATTGTTTTAACTGCAGACTATGATCAATCATAATCCTGTAATCATAATGATGAAAGGAATATATTGATCAAATATCTTTTCTCTTCATAAGGAGAGGCTCGGGTACCTCAGACCTGTTAGTTTCCTCATTTGCTAACATATGATTACAAATGGTTGATTTGTCCTTAGGAGAGATACAGTACTACAGTACCCGAAGATTCAATCATTTTTTATTATATACCCAGCATTGTGATGAATTAGATATGTTGTAGATGAACATAGAACGCTGTAGATTCGGAATCAACTTAATTTGATTCCGGATTTTTTTTTTTAAAAAAAAACAATAATAGAATTTATACAACTAAGTACAGTAATTATTTACTTCTCGGCCTAAGTTATCAATCTTCTTGGAAAAAAAATCTTTAATTCAACAACCGACTATGATCCTAATACGGCATATCGTTTGCGATGCAAAAGCAAATTCTTGAAATGATTGAATATCCTGCAAATGTAAAAGTGGATACGGGTTTCATCCATATAAATGTCAAAGATATTACTGATAAAGAATGAACCATTGAATGTGTTTAAAAAAATAAGCATCTGATAAAAGAGATCTTGTATTTACGATACAGTATATTTTTATTATTTTTATATTTAAAATCAACTTAAGTTGATCCGAATCTACAGATATACTGTATTCACCAACAGATACAAATTATATCATTCGATTCCTCTCATTGAGAAGAATCGGATGGCATAAACATAACACAAATCTAATCACCGGATGAATTCAAATACCTTCGTTAAAATAACCGTCTAATAAATTTTTGTATGGATCTACTATATTGGTTAAATACGTATAAAATAACTTACCCCTAATATTATATTATATATATATTTAATAAAACATTATTTTATGTATATATATACCAAAAATATATACAGCAATTAGTTCTTTTTAAAGTAGGAATCCATTCCTGATTCTGAGATGGCGATGTATAAGTGCTAGATACGAAGTGCGTGCTTTTGTCATGAATGCAAATATGATTAGTAATCCAAAAAAGTAAATTGACGTTAGTGTTGAAAATTTGCAGTCACCAATACATTTAATCCGAACACAAACATTTAACAATTTTCTATCCAGCTCTTTTTTTTATGATAAAGTACAGATTCCTGAAATGTCTAGCTGTTTTATTGGATAAACGATAGAACCTTATAATGTGGGATAAATTACTGTTAAAACGACAATAATGAGGATAAATAAGTGCTTGCCATACGTAACAATAGCGACAATACTGTACTAACGCTACGTCTAAAGATCGTAGTAGACATTGAGCGCAGCATCCAATCAAATGATAATTGACCGTTGAAAATTTAAACAATTATAGCATATCATGTGAAAATAAAATTGGATACAAAGGATCCCAACACGTAGTACTGGTACGTATGTACCCACATTATTTTTAAGTGTAACCCTAGAACGCCCAACGACATTCTTTGAATAAAATGTGCCGTCACACCGCCAATTGTGCCCCAAATATCTGTTAAATCGGTTAAATAATGTTAATACATAAACAGGATCGCATAATCTATTTAATCTCGACATTGTCGGGTCAGGCTTGAATAGTGTTCTCCAATATTATAATAAATCTCGTAGTACATGCAGCGCATAATCAAAAAAGGTTCATCTGAGATCTGGGCTTAGAATTTCGACGTACCTACGTACGTACGTACGTCTTTAGCTTCTCACACAAAACCAGTTTCATCAGGCTTTCCATAGAGTTTATAAAAAAAGTTACCGATTTGGGTCATTTTAAATAGTAATATTATAATTACTGATAAAGCCTAGCGTCATTTAAAGATTGTACAAATAATTTAATGCATACGCAGCAGTAATGTGGAACTCTTACTTATTGAAGCGAACAACAAACCAATATAATGTTTGACCGACTTACCAAGTTAGGAAAGTCATTCTGTTTGTCCATATTATATTTATATATGGCTTCTCCCGAAATGATTAACAAATTGTGTCAATCAAACATTCGCATGTACGTACGTACGAATGTTTACAAGCAAATAATTAGGGACAACAAATTCCCAAGTCCCAATGGTAGTATAGTATGGGGCGGAAGTTTTGATCATTTGACACTGTTTGAAAATACATATTTGCATAAATAACGGCGGACTTTTTATATTAGTCAGTCAGTGGAAGTCCCACATCATCCCACATCTTCGTCATTGCTGCATTACTACGTTTCAGTCTGCATAATTTAGAATTACTGTGCCTATCTTTATTTAATTAATAAATATATATATAATTTATATATAATTTATATAGTTATTTAAAAATACATATATAAAAACGATTAACCTACGACGTTACATTTATCATGTTTCGATTTCTTTTGTAATCTGTGTTTTGGATTGGTAATTAAAATTCTATTTCTGAATAATTTTCTTCTTAAAACTTATAAAACCAATTTTCCAAATGGACGTGCTTCGTCAGGCAAATAACGTCCCCGAGTCCATGGCCACATCAATTTCCTCGTCCGGCTCCGTCCAGCACACTCCAAGAAGACCAAAAGTCTGTAGGGGTTGTTACAAAAAATGCCGCTCTTTGGCAAGTAAAATCAGATACGTCGATTAATAAGGGCAAATGGTTTTGGACATGCCCCGTTAAAAATTTTGATTACCAGTGCCGCTTTTTTCACTGGGCAAGTGATAGTGAAGTAGATGAATACTTTAGATCCCAAGCCATCGAATATGAATCTGAGGATGCTACACTTTCGCAACAAACAATCAATGGCTCATTACCTACAAGAATAACGATTGATATTACTAACGAGGATGAAACAAGTGATGATGATGATGACATAGTTCAAATTGTTACAAATTCAACTAATAATTCAAGAAAGCACCTACGAGACAATGACGAAAGTAGTGTTAATAATTATTCTCGTGATATTACGCAAAAGAACTCTCGTTCTACCTCATCAGTTACTGAACATCCCCCCAAGAGATTACGAACTGACAACGATTTAAACGTCAATGGTGAATACATCGAATCATCTTTGGTTTTAGTTCAAAATGATGAAATTGTTCTAACCGAAAATGACTTCGATCCTACATGGCTTGAATCTGTAGCGGTAGAATTGCGTGAAGAACGTGCTGCTAAACAATCTTGTGTTTCGACTACAGTAAATAACGATGTTAATAATAACACTGCGGAAGACAATAATGATATTTCACATGTAGATACTCCATTGACTATAACCAACGAGGACGTAGAAGAAAATGATGCCACCGTGAACGAAAATATGTTACAGGACCATGACTCTAATAATTCACAATCTTCGTCAACTGCACATTTAGGTTTGGAAAATGCGCCTCAATTTACTACTACACAACTTACAGACATGCTTCAGAGCCACGTTTCGGCTCAAGGTCAACTTATCTCTGAATTGAGAAGTAGCGTGGATTTTGTTACCAAACAGCGCGATCAAGCGCTTAAAGATTTGGATGAGGCTCGAAAGCAAGTTTTGATGGTACGGAAAGAGATGAGGCGTATGCGTCATGAGATCGATGTAGCGCGAGCTGAAAGTAACCTTTTGCGCGCAGAAAAAAAATTATTGAACTACGATATTAGCGTGTTGAAACAAAATAGGAGAGTTTGATTCCAATATTCTTTGATCACAATTTACTAAACTTTTGTGTGAATAGTTTCTTCATTAATTTTAATACCTTATTGTTATTTGGTTTTTTGATGTCTGAATATTTAAATACTATTTAAAGATGGCAAAATTGAGCTGCTTTAATATTTATTGTTTTATTCAACTTTTTTAATTTGTACATACATTAGTTATAATAGGACAGTCTTGTGTTCAAAAAAAAAAATTAGTTACTAAAAATACTGTATCCTGCTAGATACCTATAATTTAGCATTGTCAAATAAATAAATAACTTAGAAAATCTTTTCTTTATTCATTAACATACGAGTTTTTCACATTGAAAATTTTACACGGCGAAGGATTCTACAAAAAATAATGGGTAATTGTAGATGCAATTAAATTCATTTTTTCCCTATTGTTTGCACATTTAAAATATTGAAATTGTTTTTCTCACAGGGTTACTTTTGCAACGAAAGAATTACCATTCATATAACTTTTGTTTAAAATCCTAAAAGACAATTTATTAAAAATATATACCTGCAACTAATCAAATACTAACTCTAACTCTCGCTTTGGTGAAACGACTGTCGGTGAAGTGAGCCGATTCGCAAGCATTTTTGTAGACACTGAGAAATGCAAATAAATCTCTCAATGCAAAAAAAGCCTTTAGCACATAACAGTCTTTTGTGAATTATCGTATAATTTTTATTTGTTGTGGGTTTACTAAAAATTTATCTTGCGTAATGGATACAAAACCTTTTCGCGTACATCCCTAGGTTAAAATAAGAAATATACCATTGACCACTGCATATAGTACCTGTAGACAGGGTTTACAATGGAGTTCAATGGAACCAATGAAACTCTGAACGGAGCCAATTATTGAGCTCCATTGGCTCCATTGCCAACTCTGCCCGTGGGTGCTGTATGAGGAACTAAGCACTATGTTTTGGAATTTGTCAATAAATCAATGTAGTCTCTGAGTATTATCCAAAAGTTGAGAAAGACGAATAGTGAATAATAGCTGGTCTTAATCATGGGATGTTATTTTAGTAGATACTGTATCCAGTGGCTAGCAGTAGTTAAAAAGAATTTTATTTATATAACTATCAAACTTTTGTTTTTTTTTATTATATAATAAAAATTATAAAGCTTTCTATCAGTATATGATATGTATAATAGTAAATTTAAATACTACAATAACTTTAAAGTCAATAGTTTATGGTATAGAAAGACATGCAAAAAGCTACTAAATAGTAGTCAAGATTCCGCAAATTGGCGATTTTTTTTTAAAAAAAAAAAACTTATTATTTGAAGCGTAATAGATGATTGATGATTCTTGCGATTGATCGAGCAGTATGATAAGTTGCTAAAACTAACAGATTGATTGGAAGCAATGCTGCCAAAAGAAATATAATTTTAATTAATTATTATAGCTTAAAAATTATTAAATAAAACTATCTTTTAAGTTGATAGTTTTTAAGCCAAACTTTATTTGAAAAAGGTTATTATTTTTTAAAATGTTATAATAGTTTAAACATTGTTTACTTTATAATTGAAAATAAAAATAAAATATTTTATATTGTTTTAGTTAAATTTGGTACTTTTTTGAATAGTGGATATCTTTACTATTCTGACTATATTGTTTAAAAATTCTTAAATTAATAAATGATATACAGTATAATCTATAAAAAAAAAAAAAAATTATAATTTAAATTTTTTATAAAATAAAATAAATCTTAAAAAAACAAAACTATAAAATTTTATTAATTAATATTTTAATAATGGTAGTTCTTCTTAAAATTAACCAATTTTATTAATAAACCTAAAATTTCACTTATTTTAATTTAGTTGAAATCTAGTTAAAATTATTTATTAAATATTATTTTTAGATTATCTTTTAATTTGTAAAATTTTTAATTTTATATTATAAAAAGAAGATTAAGTTTCTTATAAGCTAAAATTTTAATTAAAAAAAATTATTTACTATATATATATATATTTTTGATTTATAGTTCTTATTACAATATTATAAAAAAAACAATAACTTTTTTTATTACCTTTAATAATTTAATTGTAAAAATTAAAGCTTGTATTAGGAGTAAAAATTTTTACATAAAAATTTTTATAATAAAACATATAAAAAAAGACGTATATATAAAATATACATTTTATAATATTTGTATTTTTTTAATTTTATTTAAAAAATTGTAAATTTCAATTTTCTAAACAAATTTATCTAAATACAGATTTTAAAATTATAACTAAAGAGTTAGCTCAATTTAAGATTAGTATTAGTAAAAAATTAGATGTTAGTTATAAGTTATAATATGCTATATAAAATACACACTATTTCAAATACATATAGTATTATTTCAAACTATATTATTCTTTAGAAAGCACAGTTTTTAAAATACACTACTATATTTTAATTTTAATAAATTACATATTTTAAAACCAGTTATATACAACAACTTGCAATTCAAACTTTACAATATGATCATGGAATTAGCATTAATATAAATTGTATTTAATTAATGCGGGTTTACATGCAGTTAATCCTATATCTTTATAACTAAATTTGTTAGTATAAAGCTTTAAGGAGACTAAAGTAATATTTTTGTAAAAAGCCTCCGTTAATGCTTTCCCTCCTTCAATACCAATATTATTATTGCTAAGATCTAATGAAGTTAAACCAGTGTTTATATGAAGAGCCTTAGCTAATGCTTTACTTCCTTCATTACTAATGTTATTATTGCTAAGATCTAAATACGTTAAAGTAGTATTCTTGCAAAGAGCTTCCGCTAATGCTTTACCTCCTTTAATACCAATAGTATTTCTATAAAGATGTAAAGATGTTAGAATTGTGTTTTCGCAAAGAGCTTTTG